TTGGCTATTAGGAATACTTAGAGAATAAATACTGGGTCATCTCTCTGCCTAAGGTAAGAGACAGAAATTTGACAAACAGGCCAAAATCATTAACCTATTGATAATCCATTCCAGAAATCCTTGACTCTTGGACAAAGAGATTAAAAAGCTGGAATCTATCCAGTAGCATCCTTAGTGTTGTGACATGCCTACTGCAGAATTGTCCTTCAACAGTGTAAACATATGTTACATCTTTAAGGAATGAGAAGAAACAATGAGAGGATAGCTATTAAAAGGTTAGGGCTCTCTTCTGCCTTTCGTAGTAAATTGATGTAATCACATCATGCATGCCGAGGCCTGATCCTTTCTCTGCTCTCTGCAGATGCAGCCTGCAAGCAAACTGAGTATTTGGAATGAATTCCCTCAGTTGACACATGGTATAGGAATGATATAACCACCATGTAGGAAGTGTAAAACTGGTAGAGCTTGATTTGTAAGCATCACAGTTCCCTCCTTATAATGAAAATTGTGTGCACTAAATTACTAACAGAAGAAATCACTTGGAGAAATGCTTATATTAAAAGTGTAGAGCCTCAACAGGACCACAGCAATCAATTACCCTAAACTGAAGCCCTGGCAGCTTCCATGAATTGCTATTGATTTCAGCTTCTAGTCAGTGAATATTTCTAGGTCTAGGCTAGGATGTAGGTGTGAGATGCAGACAAAATTAGGAGCTGGAACAGACCTCTGTGGAAAACACAAGTAATAGCCAAGTCTGGAAGGATGTGCTATGCTGAATTTTATTTTTTGAAAGTGCTTACAAATTTAAAAAGAAAACAAATCCCACTCAGGGGTAAAAATAAAGTGACAAAACAGCGTATATTGAAATAAAAAGAGGATTTTTTTTCTTATGAAGTTACTAAGGAAAATTCTGTCTGACTTCCTAAATAAAGCCTATCTTCTGCATTGCAGTTAAGATGCAGTTAAATTCTTTTCTGCAGCCTGAATGTGAATATGCCAGTGATTTCCTTCCTTCAGCGAACATGCAGAAGATACAAAAAGGAATCCAAATGAATGCAACTAGGAATAAGTCCTTTATGTGCTGTATCTTCTGAGTTGTAAGTTTGTTATCTACAAGATTTGGTGTCTGATAGTATTCCTTGTTGGTTTCTAGAAGATGAAGCAGCTGTTTCTTTATGCATACTGTTCACTTCAAAGGGAATTTAATCTGTTTTGAGGAAAGAGCTATGTATCCATTATCATACAGGGAAACTCATTCTGGAACCTGTTTTGCTCAGCAGGAGCCCTATGTATTTTCCACTGTCTCGTAATACATGTTCTGGCATGAGCATTAAGCACACATGCTCATGTATGCTCTGGCTGATCAAATGGAGAAGTCTGATCAGCTGACATTTTGGATCAAGGTGAGGGTTATGGTTGTAACCTGCACTAGAAGAAACTTCATGGAGCGGCTTCTCGCAGAGGCATCTCACATTTTTCTGCTTGACTAGTGGCCCAGAGGCAGTGGAACAAATCATCTTCGTCCTGTTGTCCTCATTTTATTATCAGCTGCGCAACAGCAGCACAAATGGAATACAGCTGATCATACAGTGTAACTGAATTCTGCACTCAGATTGCATCCCTCCAACTGCGTGTTGTTGCGCATTGTTAACTGTGCTTTTCCTTGAGCAATAGTGGTGACACCTGGTATGTAAGGAGGTGGCAAATAGGTGGTATAGGAGGAACAGGGACTTGTTCTAATGTTAGGGACTGAAAATTCTGCTAATGCATTCCCTATAGCTGCCAAGGCACCAGATCAGCCTTTTCTTAGTGCAATCTGCCAGGGCTGGAAATTCCTCCTTGGCAAGCATGTATGAGAGTGAAAGCAATGTGAAGACCTTTCTCATTTTCTGAGGGAAATTCCTGTTCAGGCCCAATAGCACCAAGGTCTGTTGTTTTTTTTTTTTTTAAGGACAACAGTTATATCCCTGTGCAATGCCAATTGTAGGCTGTTAAGTCATTCATTCTCTTTGAAAGTGTTGGTCTTTATGTTTTTTTTGCACACCTTGGAAATGCATCACATGGTGTGGTAGACTAGGACTCAAATGTGACTTTGATGCTTGACATGTGGGTGAACTGAGGGAGAAGGACTGCGACCTGATCCAGACATCTTTCCGTGAGATAAAATTGCAAGGGAAGCCATTAGTTTAGGAGTGGCTCTATAGCTTTCTGACATTAGAATACTTTTCAGCAATGACATTTTCATTTCATCAATTTCTGCCAAATATCCTTTTCATTGAGCTCTGCTAGTTCACCAAATGGCAGATTTCTGAGCAGCATTGTCAGGGCCAAGTTTTTAGATATTTTCCTGCTGAGAGACATTGTGTTTAAAAAGGGGAAAAAAAGGGAAGATGGAAAAATGGAAATGCAGTGTCTCATGGGAGATGCTTGCCCATGTCATACTAGTTTAAATACAGTTTCCACACATCACATGTCAAGCTGTATTTGATTGTTTTCAAATAGATGGCAAAAATCACAAGAGGAGGAAAATATTCTTTTGTGTGACATGCTCTTCATTTGATACACTGGGTTTTATAGCTGTCAAAGCAAAAGCTGTTTTTCCTTCTATTGCTTGGAGTATCTTCCACAGCTCTCTATTCCTTTGATTATTCCCCTTAATACAAGTGTTAGTTGTTTTTTTTCTAAATCCGATGAAACAATGAATTTCCTGTGGTGCATTTTCTCCATGATCCTCAGTAGGCAATGAGTTTTTTCCTCAGTGGAGATTTAGATCACATCTGGAAATACAGTCTGTTTAAAGTATTTTATGCTTTTCTGGCAGGCAAATGGAATGCTTAATTTCATTATTCAGCATAGGGTTATTCATTTTATACAATGAAGGGAAATTCGTCAACATTGTCCACAACATCCAGAAAAATGATACTTACCATGACTCTTCACATACTCTATTTATTTTTTATATCTTTCTCATTGCTCAGCAATAATTCATCTCTATGCTGAGAGGTGAAATTCTTGTATTGAGTTACTATAATTTCTCTGAACTCCTGAAAGCAATTCAATCACTGAACGCAATTGCTTTCACTTAAATGTACTTCTTGAGACAGATATACAAAACACAAATAACTGAATAAAGGTTATTTTTCTTCCTATTAATTTTCAAGACGATTTAGTGATAATTTATAAGATTAGGTAAATCAATGTAGCTACATCTTAATATTCATTGCACTAATATTAATCATGGTGGATTATTGGAGATGGATGTGAAAGTGCAAGAGGGAATGCAGTTGAAGTGAAATATTAATTCATTTCCCAGTTGTTATTGAATGTCACGAAGTATTTATAATCTTGCTGATGCTTTGCTTTTAAAATCGTGTGGTGTAAAATAGTCAGTGTGTGGTATTTGTATATGCAGAGTCCTCAAAATAATTATCTCTGAATCTTTTGTATTGTTATGTTTAATTCTACTGCAGTGTCTCCAAATCTGCATTTTTGGAAAGATGAAAGTACAGAATATAAAGTTGGTGATGGACTCAACCTTACTCCCGCAGAAATCAATTAAAAATCTTTCATTAGGAAATGTGAACAGGGGGAACTGAAACCAGCCCAGTATCACTGAGACATGATTTCTCTTGCCATTGGTAAAACAGATTTTCTCATTTATCTTATCCTCTGAGTTGTTTAAATTTTGAATGTCAGCTGATTCAAATTTTATGTTTGGGGAATCCAGGCACCGAGATGATCTGGGGTTAGAGAACTGAAGTGGGGCTCGATAGATTTGAGTTTGTTCTGTCGTGCATTTCCCATGTGATCTTATGCAAATCATTTTCTGTCTCTCTGAGCCTCATCAGCAAAATAGGGTAATGTTACTCTTCTTCATCTTCCAAGGATTTGTTAACATTTGGACGGCTTATCTACAGTGGATTATCTAACGGCCATGAGAAAATGCACAGTCTTATTTAAATACACTGCTTTACATATGCACTCTTCTTTCATTTTATATATACTGCTTTCTTAGAGCTTTCTCATGAGACTCTTTCATTCTTTATCAGCAATCTTCCACAGGCTGGCCTTTTCAAAATAAATGCTTGCATGGTTACTCCCCAAAGTAGGTAGCATGTATGGGTGGATACATATTGGGAAGGCCTCGAGTGAGTTGCACTTGGTGTGGATAATATCTGGTGTTCCGACTGACAGATCTGTGCTTGGGAAACTACATTTTTGTTGTTTCTTTTATTCCAGATTATGTCCACTTAAATGATCCAGACGTATTGTTCTTGATTACAGAAATTAATATTGATTTCAGTATTGAGCATCTTTTATGTGAAAAGAAGAATAAAATTTCTAATACTTTTGCAAGTATTAGAGTCCGGGCAGTAACATCAACACTGTGCTCAATTTCGTTTTGCAAAACTTTTTTTTTTTTTTTTTTTGAAAGTAAATGATAATATTAGATATGTACACAAAATTGTTTGGCTAAGTTCTGGTTTTGTACACATTTACCTTTGCAAAAACATGTTTGTTGTTTGAGGCTTTTAACTTATGGCACAAACACTGTTTACATTCAGATGCCTTTTTATAAAACCCAGCGAACCTTTCCTGGAGTGAGCAGGTCTGAGTTGTACATTGTTCTCTATCCATCAGTGTTATCTGGGGTACAGCAGTAGTGTCAATGTCAAATACAGGAGATTTAGCTACCTACTCTCACTTGGTTTAATGAAGGTGGGAATTCCAAATCTTAAATACTATTTATTTGATTTCTCTATGTACACAGCATGGACAAATGTTGACTACTCATGACATCTGATGTAGAACTGTTATCCAGTAGTGGTTTTTGAATTCTGTCTGGATGAGGCAAACAAATGCCCCGTCTAGAACATCTCTATCTAAGAGTATTAAGTTTATGGATGCTGTTTAGATCACTATGCTTCCTTCAAGAAGGCTGTAAGAGTCATAAACAACCTGCAAACAACTCAATTTTCCTTAATGAAACTTCCGTTCAGACATTGTAGATATAAAGCCAGCCAATATGGAGGACCTGACAGAAGTAATTACAGCCTCTGAGTTTCATCCCCATCACTGCAATCTCTTTGTCTACAGCAGCAGCAAAGGCTCCCTGAGACTCTGTGACATGAGAGCATCAGCCCTCTGTGACAAACATTCCAAGCGTAAGTCCTTCCTTATGTTTATTCCAGTTGTACTTTGTGTCGATCCCTTCCATCCTCAACAAGTTTGTGATTGATCAGGCAACTCAAATAAAAACCCCTAAAAACAAAAACCACCCAAAGCCACCATATTGTGTTCTCATAGAAGATGTCATGTCTTAATGTGATTTTATATAGCGTGTAAGACTTTGAGATGTAGCCTCTAATTCACAACCACTTGTGTTTGAAGCCTACCTAAGAACAAGTAGAGCGTGAGGCTGTCCTCAAACAAAGGGATGAAGGAAAATGTGTGTTTGTAATGTCTTGCTGGTAAGACAGAATATAGGCTATGCCACCACTATCCTGGTAAGCCCAGGTGCTTTTCCTTATGCAATCAATCTTTTTATTCCTTATCTTCTAAGACTGAAAAACAGCAGGCATTGTGTCATGTGGTGGTTTCCAATGAGGAGCTGAGAACCTAATGAGCTGTGGTGGTTTTGCATTAGGCACCTTAAGGACTGGACTTCTAGAACACTTTTATCTCACAGAATCAGGTCTTCACTGTCTTTGGCAATGTTCAGTCATTGGGAAGGAAATCTGGGAGAAACTTTCTTAGTGCAGGGGTCATGTAAGTGGTTTTGTATCAGTCGGTTTGTATCTGAACCTTTTGAGGTAGGTGGGCCTTATTAGTAGGACAGGGAAAAGAAAATACTTGAAGATTTAAATGAGACTTAAGCACTGCATAACTTAGCACAGTTATTTTTTTTTTAACTGAAATAAATACAGTAAAGAGTCTAGGGGAAGACCTTTTGGCTGCAAGGAGTACTGCACGTGCTCAGAACCTCTTAGGTTGTGATTTCCAACTGAAGAAAATAAACTTTCAGGACAAGTTGCTGAGTGTTTTACTTTCGTTAGCTCTATGCCCTCGTACATGCAGGAGGAATCATTACTATGAAGTAAAAGGCAAGCACAGTCTGACTTGTTGCATTGTTGTGAGTTATCCTGTCCCATAATACTTTCATTTCTCCCTACTAATATGTCTTTCTTGCCCCTGTAATTCAGTGCCATGTGCCAATCATAACTTATTAAAACAAGAATACAGTAACCCTCGATGAAAGAAGGCATTTTATGCCAGAAGGGAGTTCAGGGTCGAATGGTCTTTGATTAAACCCTATTTTCCAGATCTGTGAGTTAGAAAATAGCCATTTAATGTAGCATTGCTGCAATAAGTCAAGCTCATTGAGAAGCCAAGTGTGTAGAGCATGTACAGTACAAAATTGAGAAGGTAATAGTAGAACTTTCAAAGCATTAAAAGGAGGAAACCTATTGATTGGAGTGATTTCAGTATACATCTCAGAAGCATGCAAAACTGATGATGTAAAGACTGTAGCAACCAGAAAGGATGTATCTTTGGAATCAAACAATCTAGGAGATCAAATGCTTGCATGATCACCTCTCTAGTACATTCTTGTTGCATCTGATTCCTCTTAACTGTTGTTTTGTACATGGTTACATGCATGATTGACATCTTACTCTCCTAGCTCAACTTCTCTTCATGCCTTTCGTACTCATGACTGGCATGACTTTCCAAACAAAATAGCTATGACTAGAGTCACTGTAAACTCTCGTGTTCTCCCATGCAACTCTACTTTCTTCAGTCAGTCTCATTTCATGACAACCTGTACTTCAGATGCTGTTCTGAGATTGTGGTGAGCATATGTATTTTTAGGGATAGAAGACCCAATATTACTTATAAAAATACCTGGATGCTGAGGATATGTTGTGAACTTCTGGTTTTATTTTTTTCCAAGACCTTTTGTTATACAAATCTGTATGGTTAGTCTGGTGTCTCTTGCAGCTTTTGGAGGAAGGGCCTTTCCATTTCCGCAAGTCTAGAGCATGCTACAAGTAATTACTGTGTTATGCTATATAAATAAATGTCAAAGTTAATATCTGTAGTAGAAATCACTGGCACAGGATGTTAATAAATTACACTGTTGTTGAAGATTTCTGTTTTGCTAAATTCAGTGGTGAAATCTCTCTATTCAGCATCAGTGACAGCGATGCTACATGGTTTTCCATATTAATGTTTTATGGCTCTGACATGGAAGAGACTTCTGTATCTGCTTATCTTTGGTGCCTGGGCTGAGATTGATTAGCAAGCTGCCAATCTGTATGATGAGTTGTAGTGGGAACCTCTGTCCCACAGAAAAACTGTCTCAAACTACCAAATCCATCCATAAGGCATTGAAAGAATATCAGGTTAGTAGCTGAGTTTTAAATGGTCTTTGAGATACCGATAAGGTATGATAAAATATGTTATTTTTCTAATAGACTACCTGAAACTGCTTCTTATAACACATCTTTAATAGATCATACAATGCCGGGTGAGCAATCAGAAGCAAAACATATGTGGCCATTACAAATGGATATCCAGGAGAGCCCAATCTGCAACTGTAGGAGAGATATATACATAATACTGCTTCATTTTATTGTCAGACTTGGCAAATAGTAGGAGATAGATAGTTCCATCAAAATTTTCTGGATATTCCTTTAGATATTCATATAAATAATACGGGATAATGATGTTTTTTTTTTGAGGTGTAATTCAGGCAACGTGTGACAGTGCAGTGTATAAAGGCAGTATGCAGGGAATCTGTGAGAGCTGGAAAACTAGGGGAGCTAACAGCTGAAATAACCTCATTGTTAGAGCAGCCAGCTAGGAGCATCCAAGCAACAGAGGAACCTGTCCCTAATTCCAGAAATTGTCATACAAAATATTCAGTTGATAAAGAAGACAAGTTAGAGGCTATTGATGCATTATGATTCTCCTGAATGAAGAATTCTTGCAGCAACTTAAGGCACAACTGTTTGATTAATGAATAGTTGCCAATTTGTTTTGTCTCACTAATGCTGTGTTCAAAATTCCTTATGAATGTGCTGGGAGATACATTCTTCCAAACAGCTGGTAGACTAGGTAGGTACATACTGCTGTTTCAGCACATCATGCATTGAAGCAGCCAGTGAGAGAAAACAGCTTGAGCATGTGAATTTGGAAAGAAATGAAAAGAAATGAAAGAAATTTTTCAAGAGTTTATCAGAATTACTAAGCTCAGAATTAAGAGGAAAATGGAAACTGTATATTTATGCAGCATGGAAATTTAAGTCACTGGAGCATAACTCTTATTGATATTCAGTGTAATAGCCTTAATTTCTTAAGAGTTATTGCATACTTTAGAAGATGTAATCTGCTTAAATGTCATATGTTGCTTTAAGCATTTTTTTAGTGTTCATTTCTTAATGTCTTTGTAGACTAAAAAATTGTTTCCAATTATCCATTACCCATGTGCAAAATTTAGAAAAAAAATATTTCAGAGAAAAAGGGGGTTCAGTTTCAGATTTATTGCCTCTATTTCCATAGTGGTCTCTAGAATAGAAACTTGGGGTCATCCTCCCCCTTATTTGAAGTAGGGGATCATTTACAGATGACAGGCAGTCCTAGCAGTCATCTTCTCTGGAGTCCTCCTGAAAAGTGCAAAGCATTACTGCTGTAAAACCATAACAGTTAATTGATGTCTAAAAGGTGTAAGGTGGTCTTCAGAGCAATGCACAGTGAACTCCAGGTTTGGTTTGGGACCAGATTATGCGGTGGTGTCCTTTGCTTTCCATGAGAGCCCTTGACCACATTTTTAGTTGAAATTTGGACGTGAAAGAGCCAGCCCTTCCATTAGGAGAAATTACACTATCTTATCAGCCTGGCAGTTGACTGAGTTTGGTTATCCAATGTTTTTTTTAGAGATTGTCTTGATTTTAAACTTCAGAATTCTGGACTGTGGAAGCAGCCAAAACAGAAATCAGGGAGAATATATTTGAATGTGTTGAATTTAAAAAGTTAAATGAGTGATATTTACTAACCTTTTAAGGGAGATCGCAATTACAGAGACAAGGCAGCTTTCAGACTTCTAACTGAATATGGATTATCTTTCATTTGCAACAGAGAACAACCAGAAGCACAAAAAAGCCTGTGACAGAGTATCCCTGCTGGATTTGCTAATTAATATTGACCTTTTCAAATGAATGATGCTTATTGTATGACTGGAAAAGAAACAACTTGTTTTTCTTTTATGTGAGCTTTACATTGGAAATAACGCTTTTTATTTCTGCATCTGGTTTCATGTCAAATTACCATCTGAGGGAGAGACAGCCAGCATTCTCCCTTTGTGCACTGAGAAGCTGCTGTCAAAGTAATGTCCATTTGGGCAAAATCTGCAAGGTTTTGAATGACAGGAAGGGATCTTATGTGAGCTTCCTTAATGATTTAATCCCACGCTTTAACAAAAGTTTGTTCCCCTTATCCTACTTCTGGATCTGTTTTTAAGTGTGCACTACAAAGGCATAGTCATTGATGCTTTTATATACCAAGGGAAGAACTGTGCCTATACCCTGATAATTTTGTAATTATGACTACTACTCAGGATGTGTTCTAATTTTACACATAGTAAATACGTGCTGGATTGGATCTTTCCTTGTGCAGGAATCTTGTTGAAATGTAGTAGAAGATTGCCTTTAGCATGGGCTCCAGAGCTTCCATTCTGCTCAGTTTATATGGAAGTATAATAAAGACATTCAAAATATGGTAGTGAAGATGAGGAAATGCTTCTGCAGAAATACAATTATGTCTGTATAGTGTTTCCTCCAGTTATGCAAGATATGTTAAAATTAAATCAGAGTAAGAAAAAGGCTGATTTATGTACTTCTAGCTATCAAACAGTAGGAAGAAAGAAAAGCCTGAAGCAGTGGTGAATGATTTATGATTGAAGAGGTTTCATTAACCCCTCTCCCCCAACTACACACAGATAAAGCAAATAATTGCTGTAAGATTCTTTTAATTATTCAGACTATTAAAATTTCTGTCTTGTTTGCTTGATTTTTTAATAGCAACAAATACTGCTTTTCAATATCTCTTGAAATCAGCATTATTTTTTCAAGATCCTGTTTCACTGGGGAAAAAAAAATCACTTATT